CCAAGCGCCACCGATCTGCGCCCATCGACCCTCGGAGATAACACACCGACACCCCGAGCCCCCCCGGCCCCGGGAAGCACCACCACGGGGAGCGGTGGAGGGGGGAGGGGGTTGTCCGCTCTCGGTTCTCCCCTCTTTTGCACACGCACACACCAAATAAATAAATAAGGAGGCGGCTGGAGCCATCTGGGGTTGGATGGCTTCTCATCTCATTACAGAGCATTAGGAGAAACAGGCAAATATACAGCTATTAAAATTAATCGCCTCGCGCTGTCAGCTGAACATAATGGAAATTATTTATAGGCTGCCTGCGATGCCGGGCTCGTCACGGAGGCGCGGTGCGGAGCGCTCGCGGCTCTCGGCAGCGAGAGGCGTGCGGGGCCCGGCCCGGCCCGGCCCGGCCGAGTGCGGGCGGTGGGACAGGGGCAGCGGAGGAGCCGCTCTCCGCGGGTGCGGGTGTTTGGGCTGAGCGGAGAGGAAGCAGCGTGGGCTCCCGTAAGGCCGCGGGGCCGCCTCGGCCAGCGTCCGCGGGACCGGGCGGGGCCCTCCGGAGTGAGATCCCCCCCGTGAGGGCTCTGGGGGCTGCGGGAGGGGGAACGGACGATCCGCCCGCAGCTCGCCGTCCGCAGATGCGATGCTAATTGGCGGCCTTTCCGCCGCTGCCCCCGGAGCGGCCTTTCCGAGCTGCTGGCTTCTACTCGGGGGGGAGACGGGGGTCTCTTCCGCTCGGGAAGAAAAAAAAGCAAAGCAAACCAATGGGCTTGCCGATGCCGAGCGGAGCCGGCCTGTTTTTCAGACCGAGAAACAGAGAGCGTTACGGAAGCAGGAAAGCGCTGCCCCTGCATTTCCCACTCCGCACGTCCTCCCTCCCTCCCCGCAGCCGCGAAGCGCCCCGCGGGGGCCGAGAGCCGCCGGGCGGGGGCAGAGCACAGGCGGTGCGGGAACCGATTGAGCTGCTTGGGCGGTGCGGGAGGGCAGTGGATGAGCACAGCCGTCCCTGTGCTGCCCGCCCGGGGCTCGGGAGCCTCAGCGGGTAATTGTCAGTCTCGAACCCAAATTGAAACATGTGTTAACAACAACGCCGCGCATCCTACGAGCTGCCCAGGAGACCGCCACCTCACGCTCTTTATATATGATTTGAATCCACCGGAGGGAAGTGGCACGGGGCTTGCGGAGCACGTTTCCCCTACCTGTAAATCAGCGCTTAGCACCGCATTCGGGCAGCGGCAGCTCCGACGCACACAGCGGGAGGATCGGAGCCATTCCTCCTCCCACTGCCCTCGCAGCGCTGTTTCCACGCCGCCCCGAGCCCTCCCGTGGCCCCCCCGTGGGGCGGCGTCGGCCCACGCGTGTCCGCTGGAAACCCCCTCCCCCAGTGCTCCTTCAACCGACCTCCCCCCCCCCACACACCCTTAAGGGCATTTGCCGTCTCCGCAGCTCAGATCGGGTCTGGGCAAGGAGGGAGCCAACTCGTGCCGGAGCGGTTGGACGTGCCGAGGCAGCACAACGCTGGCAGCGCTCCCCGGGAAGGGCTCCAGGGCCTCCCACCGCCAGCCGCAGCCCTTCCACCCGCAGCTGCCACCGTCCCGGTCCCGCACCCTGAGGAGCAGCTGGAGCCCCGCGGCGCGATCCCGGCCCGGAGGAAGCGGTGCCGCCGAACTCGCGCCATGGTCACAGCGGGGCGGCCGGCAGATGGAAAATCCCCGCTCCTCCCGCACAGGAACACGGCGGGGACGGGCAGAGCGGTGCCTAGGCGCCGCGCGGGACGGGGATCGCCGTGGGCTCCCTCCCTCGTGGTCCGCCCGCACCGACCCGGGAGCTCCCTCTCCCGCGTGGGCTCGGCCCCGCCTGGGGACGGAGCCGCCGGCGAGAAGCGGTTTCCGAAAGGCGGCCCCGGGCCGGGCTCGGGAAATGGCTGCGGGGTACGGTTCCTGCCCAGCCCCGCGCCGCGGCTCTCGCCCACGCGTGAACTCGCTGGAAGTCACGCGGGCACGCCGCGTGTCCCGTGTCACACGCTGCCTCTCCTCGCCGGCGCCACGCACACGGTCGATGTCACTCACGCCGAAACCCACGCACACGCACCGCCCGCCTCTCGGCAGCGCGCACCGAAGGGCTCGCACGCCGCAACCCGCGCCGCCACCGATTCGCACCCGCACACGGGGCCGCGTCGGGGCTGCACCTGCCGTCGGGCTCCCCGCCCTGGGACGCCCCGTCCCCTTCCCCTCGCCGCACCCCGGCCCCGCACACCGTGGCGGGTGGTGCCGGCGGTGCCGCGCCGTGCGCCCGGCAGCTGCGACGTGCCGGAGGCGGCCGGGGAAAGGCCAGCGGCGCCCGGGGCGCGGGCAGAGGCCGCGGCTGATCTCTTGGCAGAGCCGCGAGCGGTTTGGCCGCCGCAGCCGGGAGGCCGGCCCGGATTATTCATCACGGGCGGGCGAACACAATCCTTCCCCCTCCCCCTCCGCCGGCCTTGGGTATTTCGTCCCGGCCGCGCAAACAATATTCAACTCGTGTCCTCTTCCGTGCCGGCACCGAGGAGCCTCCGGCTGCCAAAACGGCGCACGGCGGTAGCGTCCCGGTTCCTGCGGCCGGAGAGGAACCGGCCGGGAGCGACCGCTCCGCAAACCGCACAGCCGCGGCCCCCGCGGGGCGGCCCGGTGCTCGTAGTGCGCCCGCGCCTACGGCAGGCAGCGCTGCGCCGCGGGGCTCGGCGGCCCCGGCAGCGAGCCGAAGCCGAAATAAAAGCACGCTCCGCACATCCCGCGGCTGCCCGGGCGCCGGGTCGCGATCGTTTTCGCCCGCAACCCCCCCTCACTCGCAAAACCCCTCGCCCACCCCGCTCCCGCGGGGGCTTTCCGCGCCCGGCTAGGCCGCCAACCGGCCTTCCCTCGCCCCCTATTGGAAAGCACCGCGCGGTGCGGGGCTGCGCTGCCGTCTCCCGCGAGCGCAGGAAACGTGTCCGGTCCGATCCGCGAGCGGCTGCGGGGCGTCACGGCCCCGGGTCACTTTCCCAACCCCGTCCCTATTCCTTCCCTTCTCCGTCCCCATCCCCGCCGATTCAGCGATGCAGCAGAGCGCATCTCGCTCTTAAGACTGGATATTTAAAGCTTAACTCCCGGTTTATTTTCGTCCCAGACCGAAGGAGCTCGGCTGCCTATTCGGGCAGCTATTCAGATGCCTGCCCCGAGCCCCGAGGTTATTAATTTCCCGGGGCTACTCGGTGCCTCCGCCTCGGCGCAGCGGGACGCGCGCTCCGGCGTCGTTCGGGGCCGGGGGTTGCAATTGGGAATCGCGGTGCTTCGCAGCCAGTTCGCGTTTCGTTACTACGGGAGGAATCAGCCTGCAGCCATACAGCGTCGTTACGTAGAGCCGTATCGATTTTCAAGCAGTGCTCCCCACCGGTTTAATTGTTTTTAGGAATGTCAATTGCAGCTCTCGCGTTCCCTGAATTCATCAGCGCTCACATGACGAACCCCATCGTCGCCCTAATTCATAGGGCTGCCCGGCCCTCGGGGTGCGTTCAGCAGAGCCCTGCAGCGCTCCCCTCCCCAGCACACACCTCCGGCCCATCCTGCCTTACGGTCTCAGAATGAATGCACCGAATAAATACACCCCGAAATTAGTCACCGTTCCCGGTTTCGGGTTTTACAGCTCAAAATCCCCATTGCGACGCCGAGAAGACAAAAGAAAAAAAGAAAGCAAACCACACCGAAAACTCATCGAGTCTTTAAAAAATAATTAGGAAGAAAAACAAGCCGAAGCCGAGCCGTTGCTGCTGCTCGGGGCCGTTCTGAGAGCCAACAGACGCCCTGCATCCTGGGGGCCCCCCGCAATCCCGGGGGTGCCCGCCCGCCCCCGACCGACCGACGCCGCGAACACGCGTGGGCCGCCGCGGGGACTCCCGGCAACCCCCGGTCTTCCGCGGCTCGGAGCGGCACCGCGGGCGCCGAAAGTTTCCGCGCCGCGAGCGGAGTCGAGCGACAAACCCCGACTGGGAGAAGCCCGGGGCCAAACCTCCGCTCCGCTCAAAGCCCGTGGGCACGGTTCCGTCCCGCTTTAGCCTCCCGCCCCCCCCTCCAGACGATGCCCTCGGGACGGGAGTCGGAACCGTGCGGAGGGTCGCGGCCGAGGGAGGCGGCTGTACGGCCGTTCCCTCCCGCTGCTCTGCCGTCCCCTCTCGGCCGCAGCCGGCACTGCACGCCCGGCCTCTCCATATCCTCCCCCCGGTTCCCCCCAACCCCCGGGGAGCGCGCCGGGCCGCTCCTTCCTGCCACGCAAAGGCGCGTGTGTGTTAATCCCCGGCCGCTGCCCGCCGGGCGCAGCTGTCGCCCACACGCCGAGAGCGTTCCCCCACCCCTCCCCACCACCCCCGGGCCGCTGCGCTCCATTCCGCTCCCGGCAGCCCCGCCGCGGGTTCTTTCGCCCGTCTCTCCGGTGCCGCGCTCCGCGCTGAGAGCCGGGGGCACGAAGGGGGCCGCCCCCCCAGCAGCGCTTCCCCGGGCGGAGCTGCGCCCCCCCCGCAGCGCAGCCGCCTCCCCCCGGCACGGTACGGCACCGCGGTGCCACCCGGCGCTTCATCGGCCGCGGGGAGATCCGAACCGAGCCGAACTGTGCCGTGCCATGCCGTGCCGCGGGCAGCCCTCGGCTGCTGTTTGTTTTGTTATCAAATCAATTAAGCTGCCGCTCTCCTCTGAAACGGGGGCGGGAGGGGGGAGGAGGGGGCACGGAGCGAAAGCGCGGCCACTCCTTTGGCATCGTCTCAGCAAAGCGAAGAGCTCCTCCTGTTGGAGGAAAGCTTTCCTGGCGGATGGGAACCCCCCCAGCACGCGAGCAATTTCGTTTTATTATTGCATTTCGTGCTGCGTCGCTTCACTTTGCGTTACACTGCGCTGTTTTATTGTAACCCGCCCATTGGGAAGATCCTTGCTGGGTCTCAGAGGATTCAAATCAGCCCTTAATGCGAGGTAGCTCCTAACGTGGGCACAGCAGAGCAGAGCACGGCGATGGGGCAGCTCACAGTGAGGTGCACAGGACAGGTGCAGCTGATAATACTACTGCCAAGGTACAGCGTGGTGGTATAAAACCACTCCTGTGCATCCACACCAAAGGGGTGGAACTCAGTGAAGCCAATAGTTGTGATAATGAAGTGCCAACAAAACAACAGTTTGGAAAGAATTGCAAGGAAATACGATTTTGTTACGTGCTTATGGTCAGTCCTTACTGCTACTCTATGCAGTAGTGGAGGAGTGCTGGGTGGAAGGGCTGGGAACCACCTGGGGTTTTTGTGTTCCTGATGGTGGGATGTACCCTGAACAACTCGGATGGACTGTTAACAATATTTTCGGTTTGGTGGGATTTCTGTGCAAACGCTGGCAGATGGCGTGGGTGGCTCATCTCTCTGTTCTTTCCATGGCATCTTGCGAAGCCTGAGATCTTCACATATCACCTCTTTTTCCATTTGACCTCTTTATCTGGCTGTTTTTCCCCTCTCTCCTTACCCAGACCACGCCCTGGATTAATGCTACATCCCGTTGGTCCTAGAGCCCGGACCGCCTCGTTCCTTCTGTTTGCTGACATCCCTTAGCAAAGCAGTGCAAAGCGTTCAGGCATCACCTGACAGCAGACGAGGCGTTCAGATGCAGAAGGGGGCACGAGCAGTGAGGGTTTCTAACTGCAGCCAGGCTCTGGGTACTGTGTTTGCAAGGCACAGGTGCGAGGCGCTGCAGTGCAGGTTTGTGGTGTGAGCCAGAACAGGAACCAGCCCTCCCTGTGAGCAGCAGGCTGTGTGATCACTGCGCCGTACAGGGCCGGCCTGTTTATACAGCTCCCGATGGAGGTGATGGATTGGGCAATCTTTTTGCACTGCACTTAGGCTAAAATGTTTCTGGCCTCACCTTAAGGAGGAAACCGTGTGTTTGCCTCCATCGTCAGTGTTTTGAACCACACGACCAGAGCCAGATAAAACACAGGTCTGAGCCAAATCACAATGAATGTAAACAGTTATGACAAATCATTGGAGTAACCTTTTTCCCTCTCTCTCGACAGCTTAATGCTGCTGCAGACCTCAGCCTTAAGGAACAGGTAGGCACGGCTTAGCTCAGCGTCATTTTAAATGCCAGGTTCAAAAAATGTTAAACTCCACCGGGTCGTGGGAGATCGGGCTCTCCTTTGTCAGAGATTTGTACCGAAGACAAACATTGGTGGCAATTGTGTCTAAAAATACTTCAGAACCTGCTTCTTGGGGGAGAGCGCAGACGCCAGGCGCCTGACCACGGCCATAAATTGCTGTCAGTGACACAGCTTGGGCGTATTTAGGGGACCTGGCTTTGCCCTTTCCTTGACAGGACAGCGGCTCGCCCTGGGGTTCGTCTGCTCATGTCACTGTCATCTGTCATGACACACTCGTGTGGGACACAGCTGCTTACACCGGGAAAGAAGAAATGTGAAAATAATTGGTTGATGCTTATGTGGCTCCTTAGGCTACACCTGCACAGCCCTTTTCGGGGCTCTCTATTTGAAAAATCATTAACCTTACATATACATACTGCCCTGTATCTTAGATAATGTGCCCTTCTGCCGTTAACCTTTACATAATGCAAGCGCAAAAAAAGCCTCATTGCTACTGAGCGCATCCTAGTGCAATCTGGCTGCAGTCTAACAATGATACTGAAAGCATCGGCATGTTTTGGTATACTCCTTTCTGGGGTGAAAATTGATCCTCCTAGAATCTTTTCAATTCCAGGTTTTTAGCAATGCAAGAAAAACACACACACACACACAAAAAAAACAAATTAAAAAAAACCCAATGCAGCAAAATACCCGAGGGCCAGGCTGTGAACACAGAGCTGCTCTGTGTTGCTGAGAAGCAGCCACCAAGCAGAGTGAGCACGGCGAGCACCAGCTCCGGCACACGCAGGGCTCTGGCTGCTGGCTGCACTCAGCACAGCACTACCTCCGGCTTCTCCCAGCAGTGCTGGCAGGGCCTCAGCCTGGGCACACTGCTTGGCCATGTGCTGTGTTCTGCATGCAGGGGGTGGGCTTGGGCAGCGTGCTACCAGCATTATGAGGGATTTAAGGGAGGGAGAGAAAAGCGTGGCTCCTCAGCGTAAGATTCACACGGCAAATGCCCTATAAAGGAAAGCCCCGTATCCCTGGAAGACAAGTGCAGACATATTGTTAGAGGGTAGAAAGGCAGTAATTAAGGCTGGGGACCCATCACACTTCGTTGCCAGAGGAGATGATTCTCACCACGGATACACAGTCAGCTCTGTTTTACTCTGTCATTTCTGCTTTTGAGCCTGCTGGAAACATCAGAGAAGTGACAAACAGGACTCAAAAGCGTGCAAGAAAAGTTACTTCTGGGCAAAACATCATCCATCCGGATACCACTTACAGTGTATTTTGGTAGTAGTCCCCAAATTGCAGTTCTTCAAAATTAAAATAAATATCAGGCATAATACAGACAGCTTGTTTCTGGATTTCACAGAGCTCCCATCTTTTGCTGCAAGCAGCTTCTAATGCTGCAGTGAAATCCATATTCTGCTGCTTCTACTTCTGTTTTGCACCAGGTTTCTTGTTTTTAAGATATTGTGTTCGACGGGGAGTGTGACTTGACTGTCAAATGGCAATGCTGTATATTCAGCCTTTACAACCACCAGCCTGAACAATTCCACGGGTGAAATCATATTGGTCAGATGGCGTTGGCACGGTGCAGTGTGCAGTGGGTGCATATTGCATGGGGGCAGGCCGCATTGCTGGCCCCAGGACCTACTGACACACACTTCCAGGCTGCAGTGCTGGGAGCACTGGGGCCTACTGACACAGTGCCAGGCTGCAGTGCTGGGAGCATTGAGGCCTACTGACGCACAGTGCCAGGTCACAGTGCTGGCTCAACGCTGCTTGCATAGCAGGTGCTCCAAGCCAGCACAAGCTGGCACAGGTACCTGAGGCAAGCTTAGGGTTTGCTGGGCTTGTGAGCCTGGCCCAGATGCTAGCAGGTTCCTCTGCCTTCCCACAGCCCACTCAGCTGTGCTGCCTGGAAGCGCATTGCAGAACCAGGTCACCCTGAGCACACTTGAGTATTATTTCTGAGTAGAAATGCTCCATGTACAAGAAAGAAACACAGAAGCCCTTTGTCTCAGCCCAGAAATAAAGAATAGCAGCCCTTTGGGATGTGAGCTGTCTCCAGAGTTCCAGTCTGCTGAAGGAGCACCTGCACAAACCTCAGGCCCCTGAGGTGCTGCTCCTGCTCAGGATGGGCCCCACCTCACTCCTACAAACTGGATCCCCTTCTCCAGGGGGAGGGCCACAAATACTGGACTGTTCAGTGAAGCTGTTGTGCTCACCAGGAGAAGTAAAGCATTTCCAAAAGAGCTCCAGAGCCACTCCCGACATAAAGTATTACACAGGGTCATGCTAGTACATTTCCATAGAATACAGAATTGAGTTGGAAGGGACCCTTAAACGCCATCTATTCTAACTTGCCTACAATGAACAGGGACACCTTCAGCTACATCAGGTTGCTCAGAACCCCATCCAGCCTGACCTTGAGTGTCTCCAGGGATGGGGCATCCACTGCCTCTCTGGGCAACCTGTGCCAGTGCCTCACCACCAGTATTGTAAAAAACTTCTTCCTTATATCCAATCTAGTTCTTTCCTCTTTTAGTTTGAAACCATTTCCCCTTGTCCTATCACAAGAGACCCTGCTAAAGAGCCTGTCTCCTACTGAAATTTTCCCTCCCCAGGGAAGAGACAAATATAAAATAAAAGAGATGGCAAACAGCAGCAAAACTCAGTGACAAGGCTGACTCATGGGACTGAAGCAAAGGCATTTCCACAGCATTCACCTTGCTGGCATAGACTGGATGTTGGAGCAGCGCTGGGAACATCGCACCGCCTCAGCAGCACAGACCATTTACCAGCACACTGCGGGCGCTTCCCAAAATCGCTGCCCCACGCTCCCTGAGCCGCGCTCGGAGGCGGTGGGAGGGAGCACTCACGGATGGTAAATGCCCCAGCAGGTTCCCCCGCGCAGGCACCCCCGACGCTGCCAATTCTTGATCCGGCAGCACAGGGCGGATTAGCAGCGGAAGATTAATTCCTTCCTGTCATCTCCCCGGGGAGGTTAAATGATCTCAGGAGCAATTTCTCCTGCTGGGCACGCCGCAGTGCCGAGGCACACCGCTCGCTGCCGCAGTGTGTGTGGGGCTCTCACGGTGGCAGCGAGCCGGGGGAAGGGTCATCCGCCCAAGATACATTTATTTAATTAAATGGTGGTTTCTTGGGACCCTTTTTTTTCACGCGAAAGGGATCTACAGCATGTCAGGATCTGCTAGGGACTAACAAACAGCCGTAGCTACGTGCATCTTGTATGTGGATATGGAACTAGGTCTGCATTGCAAAGAAAGGCTATGGGGAAGAAGCCAGCAGTAAAGAAGACAGCTCAGAATGCTTCGCTGCTGACCAGGTCTTCAGTTCCAGGCACTATGCATTAAGGCAGCAAAGCAGATACATACTGGCATGTGAGCCGTTTCGCTGGTTGCAAAGGGATCGCTCAGCTGCCTTAAAGGTAAGCATAAGGCTGAGTGCTTTGCTCCACCAGACTTTGCAAGAGCTGGGTGCACAGCTCTTGCATCAGCATTTAAACGATGCCCAGACACTGAGACACAGTCACTATGAGTGAGGAGTGAGGGAAATCAGAGACATATAGGGTGGGTGCTTTATAAACACACTGAGCAGGATGGAGGTGAGCTTCCTATGTGTTAACAATCAACTGGAATGGTTTACGTGTGCATTACTCTCAGAAAGTTGCAAGACTGCTGCTATCCTGTTAGCCCAACAAACCAGTAGTGGCACCCAGATGCCGGAGGGGTTGATCAAAAAGTTACCTTTGTCTCTCACAGTTCCCCTTACACAAAAGTTACCGTTTGGATGCAAATATTGCTGTCTTGCTATTATGTGTATTAAAGCCAGACAGAGCTGATCTGGAGCAAGATTTCATCTGGAAGGCATCTGCTTTGTAACAATCACAATTCCTGTGCATAGAGGCATGAGCCTGCAAGGTAAAATGCTTAGGAGTCCATACAACACAGGGCAGGCTGCACACCCACTGCATATTGGCACGGCTGGAGGACAGTGAATGCTTATTTATTCTGTAAGGGCACTAAACCTGCGCAAATGAAACTTATGCCTGTTGTACGAGTTCCAGGACTTCCCTCCAGAGAACACTTTCCAAAATTTGCTGACTTTCAGAGCTTGTGGAATTTCAAGAGCCAAGTGATCCACGGGAAAGTTAAAACCCAGCTAGTAAATGAAACGAGCAATTAACCAAACTGATGAGAGGGAACTTGAAAACCCTGTAGCCACAGATCCTGGATCTTTAGCTTCTACTTTATTATATAGAAGAAAAAACGCATCTTGTGACAGGCAAGTTGAAATGACCTGGTTTATTACTGAATGATACATTCCATGGGTTTAAAGCACATGTTTGATACTGCAGGCTGAGGCAGGGATTTCGGAACCCACTACTCCTCCATTCCCTGTCTGTCAAAAAGGAAGAGGATGCGGATTGCATCTCTGCTCCCTCCCAGAGATAGGAATCCCGTGTGTGGTGGGAGGAGACGCAGCAGCTGCATTCTGGGCTCGCTGTGCTCCCAGCAGAACTGCATCCCACAGCCCCGGCATCGCCATGCCCTGCTGCTCCCAGCTGCCAGAGGCAGCCTTTTGGGGCCGAGCGACAGTGGCACGTATGTGACAGAGGACAGCTGGTTTCTGCTGGGCCTCCCAGGCTGCTGACAGCTGGTTTTGCCTGCGGCGTAATGTTGTGTGGGCTGCTACAGCTTTGGGGAAGCGTGGGTTTAAGGACACCTGAAAGCTTTGCTTATAGCATTCAGACCTCCACTGGACAGGGAGTAACAGGGCAGTGGCAGCCTTCATTTTTGTTTCAGCCAGTTTTTCACACTCCTTGCCATCACAAGGATGCAGATCACCAACTAATTCCAGCTTCTGCGTATGGCACATGACACCTGTGGCTGCTGGGTATCTGCCACAGCTTGCTAGGGGTAGCAGGAAAAGAGTTGGTGATACTGGTGCATATCTAGCACCTCCTTCTTATGTCTTTATTTTTGGTCTTACCAATATTAAAAATAAAGAAAGAAAGAAAGAAATGAAAGTAGAAACGTGTGTCTTTGGGCAGGCCTCTACAGTCCCAGGTGTCACAGAATCACAGAATCATAGGGGTTGGAAGGGACTTCTGGAGATCATCTGGTCCAACTTTAACTTCCCGTTGTAAGCTGCTTTTTCCTTGTAGAAACCATACAACCTCTCTGTGTCTCAGCACTCCCACCGGTAAAATGGGTGCAGCATCTGGCAGGATTTCGGTAATGTGAGGGCTGTGCTGTGAGATTTCACTGTTTGCCAAGCAATTTGAGGTCCTCCATTAAAATGTACCAGAGAAACGCAGCATTGCCTTCATGCACCCCGGCCCTTCCCCACCTTCTCCAAAGGCAGTACAAAGCATGTGCAGCAGGGTTCTTGCAGTGGCTTATTGCTTTCTACTGATGTTGAGGCAGGGTTGTTTGGAGTGTTTTCATTGAGAAGTCACATTTGTGTGTGACATCTCATGTTTGGAGGTGACTAAAAACACCTGTCAGGCACGGGCTGTTTTCTTCACGCGGTAATCAAATGCAGAAGTGAAAAACTATTAATTTTACAGTGTTTTTTTTTTTTTTTTTTAAACCCCAGGAGTACAAAATCCAAAGAGGACTTAATACAACTGTTCCTGGGGGATGGTGTTCACAGCGTTGCGGCCATATGGGCACACAGCTGGCTAACCACTTCCTCTGCAGCCTTCTCCTCAAGAAGAGATCCTCAGGAGGAGCAGAAAAGGGATAAGCTGATAGGAAAGCCAATCTCCCTGGCCCTGGGGGAAGCATAACTCCAGCCATAAACAAGTTAGTGAGGAACAAAAGGATGTGCAGAGGGACCATCTCTGGTCTAAATCATCAGCTGAGACTAATTTATACCACAGAGAGACTGACATATATATTCAAGCCAGGAAAGCCCAATAATTTAAAAGAAGAAAAAAATCCAATCTGTTCCTGCTTGCAGGAACACCTTTCTTATCAGAGCAATCCTTCAAAATCCAGTAATCACCAGCAAAGCCTGAATTCACTATCGATCCAGCTTCAGCTCTCACGTACCTTCTATCATCAGTATCACACTGCCTTCAAAGGCCGCCAGGCACCTCTTCCAAGCAGCAGCCCCCATCTTGCTTTTGGTATCTGCAACCCAGCGTGAGTCTCTTCTCCTGGTCAATCTGTTATGCACTGGCACTGCCATGCAGACTGCTCTTGGGTGTAGAGGGACCACCCCACAACCACAGAACCACAGCACGGTTGGGTGGGAAGGGAGCTCTGCTCCATCTGATCCAATCCCTGCTCAAGCCGGGCCACCCAGAGCAGGGTGCCTGCTGTGATTGTGCGTAGGTAGGAGCCCAGGATGTTCTACAGCTTTCCAGTGCAATTATATAGAACTGGGCAGCCCCTCGTGCACCATCATAAACAGAGATGGACAATGTATTACAGATGGGACGTCAGTGAAGGGTCAGGTGAGAGGCTCATGTAACTCATCGTCTGATCTCCACCAGCAGCTGGCCACAGCTGCACAGGGAGTCCAGACAGTTGGGGCAGGTCTGAACTGCACCAGGATTGAATGGAACATTCTGTGTTTGGGGCCATTTCATCCAAGATTGGTTTCAGAAGCACTCAACTCCTTAGCTCCGCGTGCCAAGGAAAGCTTTCTTAACCTTTCGTTATAAAGCCTGGTTCCTCTCATCATTTATTACAACCCTCTGGGATTTATTCGGTATAATTGATAAGCAACGAACTTGCCCTTCCCTTGCCTTGTCTTGCCTTGCCTTGCGTTCCCCTCCCCTTCCCTCCCGCAGCACACCACCTTAACAGAGCCATCAGCCCCACACAATGCACTTGCAAACCTCACGCCAGGAAATGCAGAGGAAGGCTCGCAGGACAATGTTATCTCGGCCTCGGGCACATATGCGGCACTTTCCCATTCGCACCTTTCAGGCCGATGATCCCCGGCGCAGACAGCCGTCTGTCCGTCTGTCTGAGCACCCGGCGTAAGGCGGGGGCAGAGAGCAGCCCCTTGCTTTTTTCCCCCCTTTCTCTTCCCCTAGGGGCAGGGAGGACCGGGGAGAGCTGCGGGAGTTCGGTGCTTTGTTTTGCTGAGAACTGCAGTGCCTCCCAGGTAAATTGTCTCCTCATCAGGGGTTGGTTATTATTAACACACACTAAAAAGTAATTTTTCATTTTGACTGATCCTAGAGGTGGGGAAACAAGAGCTCTTCCCATTTTCCTTTCCAACCTTGTGCTGAGCACACAGCATGTAAATATCAGCATGAAGGTGCCGTGCCAAAGGAGGTTAGGAGTGCTGGAGAGGAATAGCTGTAATGGAAGTGGCAGTATGAGCAGTCTGGCATGCAGGGTAAATCCTCCGGTCTCTGGATGATTTGTTAAGTGTTTTGCAAATATATATACATATTGCAGATATACGTTCTGTGTGTGCGAATAACCAGTAACACGTGTGTGGCAGATGGACAGATGGGATAGATAACTGCATGGTTGTGGCTCTTCCGGGATATTTATGTTCACCTATTAAAGCCACTTGGGAGTTATCCCTCTCACCTCACTCCCCAGCATCACTTCAACCTCTCTAACGCTGCATTGTTACCATTTAAGTCATCACTGGGTCTGGCTCAGCCTCCGGGTAAGGGAAACAGAAATGGGGCGTAGAGCAACATTTTCCAGCTTCCTGAGCTCCAGGGAGGACCTCAACCTCCTTGAAAACAAACAAAACAAACAAATAAAATGGACCATCTAGTTTCCTATTTTGCCAAGAGAGAGCACAAGGAGAATAATTGCAGAATCACCATAGAATCACAGAATGGTTAATGTTGGAAAAGACATCTAAGATCACCAAGTCCAACCAGCAGCCCATCACACCATGCCCACGTCCCTCAGTGCCACATCCACAGGGTTCTTGAATACCTCCAGGGATGTGACTCCACCACCTCCCTGGTGTCACTGCCTCACTGCTCTTTCTGAGAAGGAATTTTTGAACTCCGGAGGTGGGTCCTGATCCCCTACTTCCAACCCAGCCAAAGTCACAGGCAGATTTGCTGTGCTCAAGTGGAAATCTATATTATAGCTTCCTAGTGAGTGGGTTTTGAGTTTAAATATTGAAAATTACATATTTGACCAACAGCAAGAAATGCTTCAGGGAAGCGGTGCTGGCTTTGCTGGCAATGTTCTTACGGATCTATCCATGTGCAAGAGGTGACAAACACCCACCTGCAGTCACTGTCCCTGCTGCCTCCCTGCAGTCTGCAGCTGGCTGTGCTGGCTGTGCAACCCTCTGCAGCCAGCCCCCAAAGGAAGTGCAAAGCCTGGTGTTCTCTGCATCTCTGGGCTATGGATGGGGCACAAAGGACAAGCTTAGCAGTTTCATTTCCATCCTGGGAACAGGGGGATTAAAATGACCATATCTCCTGATTGTATTTTTTTTTTTTCTTTTTAATGTGGGCCCTATGTAAACTGCACTCTAGTCAACTAACTGCTGTTATTAAAAAATTGCTAATTAAATGAGGGCAGTGACTTGTTTTATTTCCCTAAGTATTTATAGGCTTCCTGCTTTCTTGTGTTTTTTAAGGCTCTGTGTATTTTGCATTTGTTTTTACTACCCGCCCCTGCTTGTCCTACTAACTATTGCTTCATAGGGATGTTCTGTTGTTTTTTTAACCACTCTGAGTCAGACAGAAGGATCTGCCTTATATTAAGACTGTTGTGTTCTCAAAAGAGCTTCTCCTACAGAACACTTCACAACACACCACAGCACACAACACAATGCAACACATACAAATGCGACACAGGACAAATGCAGCACAACAAACACAACACAACATAACATTTTGATGTTTGTGAAAAACACACATCTGCTAAATCTATCTTTTACAATGTGTTGGCAACCAGGATAGCATGTACTTTGGGATAAGACTTGACTTTTTGGTACACTTTTGTCTATCTCGTCAAGAAACAGGGCCTTAAACCTTGACTGAAAGGAATTTTCATTCGGTGGAGCTTATCTCTATTAATTCAGGATGTGCAGTTGACTTTCAGATAAAGAAAGGCACCCAAACTGCAGCTCGGGAAGAGACTCTGGTACATTCAGTCATCTTTCTGCACCACATGCAGACTGCCATCCTTTAATTATTAGCACATACCGCTAATTCTGCGTAAAACCACACAGGACTGGAATGACAACAGCAGAAGGAAGATGATGTCAACTGGAGAGCCACACTACACCATCCTCCAGAAGACTCCCATGCGGTAACCAAGTCTGAGCATCATGTCAACAGAAAAATTTTCTTTGACAAAGCATACCCCAAGGATCTGACATTGCTGCTGGTTACCGTGGAAGATGCAGGCTTGCACTAAATCAACTTTTCCGAGTCTCCCACATGCTATGTGCCATCCAACCTGCCTTCCCACTGAGATATGCTGAGAGGCTGATGTGTGCCCTGGCCTCTGCATGTGCAGGGTTTTATTCTAGAAGGCACCAAAACCAGTTATCACCTTCACATCGTGACCCTTTGGGGGCTACAGAGGGGAAACCCATGCTGTCATCAGAAGGTGTGCTTATTGATCCTGAGCAAGCAGTGGATGAGAACACAGGGCTATCATTATTGGAGAATGTAAACAAATGAAATAGGAGTGAATGTGATGCAGAGCTTGTGTCCTTGAAAGCTAATTTAAGCTCTCTTGGCTCTGGTTAAGTTTTAAACATTTCTGGTGGGATGAGGGAGGTGAGCAGAGCAGCTGCAATACAAAAGATAAGGATTGGAGCCTGATTGATATCTGTGTTTTGAAAGAAGAGTTTTCACAGCCCATCTGGGAGTGATTTATTTGATACCACCACAGACCCATTCCAGAATGAGCAGCCCTCAAACCAACAGTCTGGAGCGAAGAACAGGGGATAGCACTGAGAATAGTCTGAAATAATCACTCCAGTCAGAAGGTGAAGAACACAAAATGCCAATTTATAATAGAGAAGGAGGAACTGCAATGCTGACTGCATTCTTAAAAAGAAATAACAGTAAAAAGGTGTTATAAGAGGTAAACAGCATCTAAGTACTAGGCTGAGTGCCTGGCACCATGGCCCAGTTTCTAGAGGTTATAGGCAAATGTGCACTAAAAAGCCAAGCCTTATCCCAAAAGAGACCCTTTCCTGAGTTTGAATATATGAAGAACTTACTGCTGGCTAACAAACAATCAGGTGTCTGCTGATCCATGGCAGCTGTCCCTGCAGACTCTTGCCGTGGTCGATGTGGGATAATTCAAGCTCTTTGAATCCTCAATGGAAGAGGGAAGATGTGCTGATCTGACGGTCCTCATGTCTATTGCAGCCTAGGACGTGTAGACATGCAGGCAGTTGTATGCTAGCAGCTGACTGGTTCTGTTGCTTCTTGTTTATGTGGCTGAGTATGGATGAGTGTGCCACTGACTGTATTTTGGCCACATGCTTTTCTTATTGCAATACAGTTCTTTTTCTCTTTTTCCTGTCCTCAGGTAATCAAGTCTCCAGTGTTGCTCTCCAGCATTAAGATTGTTCCTGTACAGAAGGCAAAGGTGTTGAGTCCTGTGGTGAGAAGTAATTTGGGGACCTTCTGATTAACGACCACCATGATTTTGACATTACTGTGGTATCCTTTAAAAGCATATGTCTCACATGGCCACTCTTTACCTTGTATCTACTTGTTCTGTATGGCTTGAGCATGTTTCTTTATTGGAAACAAGGGCCATGAAGAACATTTGTTATAAAAATGGGAACCACACAAAACTAACATGAATTTAGATTTCATTACAAACATGAAACCTGGCAAAGATTAATTGAAACATTTGCCAAGGGCCAACCTAAAGTTCGATGAAATCAAAGCAGGACTTTAAACTGACTTTAATGGTCTTGGGGTCAGGTTGTAAGGCAGATTGGATACATTTCAAGGTCCCTAGGTCAATGGATTTTTTTTTGTTTTTACATCACAACCATGACGTATTATTAGTTTAAAAGATATGTCAGCCAACAACCACAGAAATCACTTGGTACCAGTCAAACAGGAACTGGGTCATCTCCCACAGGCTGTGTAGTCTGTAACGTTTGGCTCCTTGGGCATTATTTCATCTTGGAATGATCTGCCTCTGTCATGGGAGTGAGGGGCAAGCCAGATGCTAGGAAGTGCGGGGTCCGAGAGCCCCACACTTCTCTCGAGGTGACCCATGGCCAGGCGCTCTCCAGAGATGGCCATCCCCAGTGATGTCTCACTGCAGAAGGCAGCCTGTAGGCCAATGGAGCACAATGCAAAGCCTGTTGTCTCTTTCCTAATGTGATGGCTTGAGGGAAAGGGTGGGTGGGTTGTTTATTTTGTGGGAAGGAGCCTTTTCCTTTTGACTCTAGGAAGAAAAGGAATCACATTGTATATGTTTACTGAAAGACCTATTTGCTCCTGAGACATGAAGATAGGGCATGTCCTTATAAATCAGGGTGGAGAAAAAATAAAGAAAGAAAGAAATGGGCCGGGATTGCTGCAGAGACAGCGTGTGTGCATGTGCATGTGTGCGCTCAGCCAGCAAGGGGAATGACACTGACACTGTTTCAAAGGAAGGTCATTGCATAGACCATAAATCTCAAACACTTAGAATTTGTTTCATTCATCTTTGTTAAGCCCTTTTTTTTTTTTTTTTTTTTTTTTTTACAAGAAGTTCAGCAACTATTGGAGAATTTTGAAACGACTATTTATTTCTGTGGCCCTGCAACTTTTCATGGCTAACGATGGATGCGGCCAACCACAGCACAACAGACCTGATAAGTGCCATGAATGTGAGGGCTGTGTCCTTACCAGGGCTGCTAATGCATGCAATGGCCATGTGCAAGTGTTTCCTTGGATGCCCATGGCACAAAGAGATAGAAGAGGGCGTGCTGAGGAGGGCTTGTTGTCATGTTCTTACACACAAAGTTCTGGGCACTCCTGGGATGATGGGCTTCTGGTTTGAGAGGCAGGGCCATTCTTATAGTTGCTGCCCGTCCAGTTATGCTATTCTGGCTCTTCTATAACTCCCATGAGGTTCTGCTGAGCACCAGATGGGGTTCACAAGTCCTCCAAAACTCTTTTGCTCAAAAAAAAGAAGGGACAGGGAGAGTTTACTCTAACTGAGCACAATTAATGTAATTAGTACTTTGCAAGATTTTCTACCCATATCTCTTTACCTTCAAGATTTTCATTCATCCTAACACCTATTTCCATTCTTAATTACGGTCAATGAGCCTACAGCAAAGAGCAGATATGTCATTCTCTTCTATAATCATCTATATGAAAATATTGTAAAGAGACAAATTGACCAGAATAAGCATTTAGTCAAATTCCAGCTCTACATTAACTTGCAGAAGCAAGTTAATTGAGAAGCAAATTCTGTAGGTCCGTGAGAGCAGGCAGAGCATCCTGACCTCAGTGTGCTTTCAGGTAGTGCCTCAATTTCTACCAGACCTATAGACCACATCCTTCAGAGAATCTAGGTCCACCAAAGGGCGGAGAGGACCTCGATTTACAGAAGGTTGGGTTTGCAGTCCAAGAACTCATTCCTAAGCAGGTGGACACTCTGTATCAGCCCTTACTTGCTAATTAAGACGATTAATGACCATTTTCCACTTCCATCTAATGTTGCTAACCACCGACTATCACGCTTGACTGCATCCTTTTCCAAGACCAAGGGACTAGGGACATCTAATGGTTAACCGCGTGCATAGCAGAGCATCTTCTCCCACTGCAGCAGGCTGACCTGTAAGATACTCGAATGTTTAACTCCTTCAGTACCTGAGGGGTGTGTGCATTCAAAATCACTGAAATGATCATGACTGTTCACTGTTAATTCAGTGCCTGTCTGTTGCTCGTCTCCATCTTGACTCGATTCTTCTTGTCCTTGAAGGTTGTAAGAAGGATTTGAGACAGGAAAGGAATGTGGACGAGTTACTATAGTATTCCTGATGGTATCCTCACACTGGAAGAAATACCATGGCCTTCCATGGAAAAGAAGGGAAATAAAATTATGAAGCCTTGAAACTAAGGAAAGGGAAATAGACTTGATGAAATGGCAAAATGCCCCTTGTTCTGCCTTCAGGGCTCTCCATGCATGGAGTGAAACGGGCTCATGACATGATAGCTGCAAATCCCTAAGCATATACTCATGTGTAACATTAGATGCAGTCTACTGAGTGGAGGGAAGTAGGTGCTGTTGAGCAATTCAGGTGAAATGCACAGAAGCAAGCATGCCTTCAAGAAGGTGCTCAGCAGTATTTTTTTTAAATCTTTTTTTTTTGTCTAGGAGTGTGGGGATGAGGAAAAGGCTGTTAAAAAAGGCAGTGGGCATGGAACAGACTGCCCAGGGCAGTGGGCACAGCCCCACATGCTGAAGTTCTAGGAGCATTTGGGCAACGCTCTCAAATAAAGAATTTGGTTTTTGGGTGCTCCTGTGAGGAGCCAGGAGCTGGACTCAATGATCCTTAGAGGTCCTTTCCAACTTGGATTGCTTTACAATTGTGTGATTCTATGGGAGAATCCCTTAGGAATGACAGAGATGGAATGAAACATTCAGCACTGGATTTAGAGAAGAGCCTTTGCTTAGCAAAGGCTGAGATTTATGTACGAGCACAATGTCCAAAATCTAAAAGTCTCTCTTTATTTATTTATTTATTTTTTTTTTTTTAAGAAAAAATCCCGGAATAGGCTAGACAAATAAGAAAAGATCAGATAAGGACATGATTCTGAAGTCTTTGAGGCCCCCATTTTTCATAAAGGAATCCTCTTTTTGTATAGCTCTAAGTCCTGACCTGCAGTCAAAGTGTAAAGTGCCTGCGGCACACTGCAAGTGCACAGCTCTTCTCTGGGAATGGTCCCTCACAAGCAGAGGTGGGGAGGGAGCTGGAGCAGCACTGCAGATTCTGGTCCTGATCATGGCACTAGCTCCTTCTGCTGCACTGTTCCCATTTGTAAGATTAGAAGAGTGAATTCCCCATGTAGCCCCTTTCAGCATTGTTTTGAGCCTCACTCTGTTATGCTGGCTGCTGCCGTCCTGTTGCTCTGTGTGCTCAGTGGTTGTGTCCTGGCCTGCTGGGAGCACCAGGACTGAGTGTATGATTTCCTCCAGAGAAGGCATTGGACAGAGTTGTAATGCTCAGAGCTAGCCATGAGCTAAATAATTCTACACTGCTCAGCACACCTGGTTATGCTATGTAGTTAGCACCCAGCTCCTCCTGGCGTCTGACTCTGTGCATCTTCTTTAAGTGGCAAAGCAATAATGTGGCAAAATATCACTCAGAGGTGCTGGCACAGGCTGCCTGGAGAAGCTGTGGATATCCCATTCCTGGAGGTGTTCAAGGCCAGGTTGGGAGAGGCCCTGAACAGAACGTATTTGGCTTTAGATAGTTTACAATGACTTTGGCTATTTTTTTATTTCTGATATCCTCTTATATAGAAGGAATTTTTATGGCTTATTCAAGACCCGTGTAACTCAGTAACAGACTTTCAGCCAGGTTTTGTGTCCTGCTTAGGCTATGAGCTGGTCCTATAATGGTACATCTCTAAAAACATATTAAACTTTTCTCTGTAAGCCTGTTTTTTTCTCTACAAAAAAAAATAATGTATTTGCAGAATGACGCTTCAAATCAAATTAAGCCATTTTGGTGAGGCAGTGGCACAGGCTGCCCAGGGAGGTGGTGAAGTTACCGTCCCTGGAGGTGTTCAGGAACCATGTGGATGTGGCCCTGAGGGACGTGGGCAGTGGGCATGGTGTGATGGGCTGCTGGTTAGGCTAGGTGATCTTAGAGGTCTTTTCCAACCTTAATGATTTTCCATTTTAAGTTGAATTGGAGAAATAGATACTGGCAGAGCACTTGCGCTCACCAGGAAGACTTGAATACTCATGGAACTGGAGAAAGAGGATGTTGCAGGAAAGTAATTAAGATGCTCACTTGTTGGTCTATGTGCTGGTGGCTCAGCACCAGTTCTCCATGTGCTGCTGTAGATAGTGCTGAGGGGACAGTGAAGGAGGCAGACGGGTTGACAAATGGCTTTCTGCAGTGCAGATGAGATTGGGAAGGATATCTTTTCCTCTGTAGTTTTATGAGCAGTGTCTAAGGTAATGTCTACGACTTGTGATCTACTCTTTTGCCCCTAACCACCTTGAATCTCATTTGAAATGCTCAAAAATATATTTTTTTTTGGCTAAAAAAAAAGAGAATGTATCAATTTAGAGCATTTTTCCTTCAAGTTTTAACACCACACTGAAAAAATGATTTCTGTTGCAAGCCAAGTCCCACATTTTCCTGCTATGTGTGCAGACTATGCTTCAATACTAAGTTGTCAGATTCCATGGGACCCTGTCACCCTCCACTTACCTCCTATTGATTTTGAAGCTGGGAGCTGCTGTATGAAACTGATAGGCTGACTGGGTGTTAGCTTGGGTCTTGAGGCAATTCAAGGGTAAAATGATCCAATGCGACAGTATCTGAGAACTCAGCATCCAGAGTATTACAATTCCTGACTAATTGCCAGTGCCAGGAAACTGGCCTTCTGTCAATCATTGCCACATAGCAG